AAATTAACACATTAACCTATTTTCATATGATTAGTTTATCAATTAAACTCGATCCATATTTTTTTGTTAATTTTATAAAAAAAATATTCTTATATTCTATACTCTACTGTACTAATCACTTTTATTTTTATGGGCTTTATCTTTTTTTACATCTTCTGGAAATATAATAAAAATAACGCGCTCTAGTGGAGAAATATATATCAAGCAATTTTAAGTTTGATATAAAACTCCTAACTAAAACAATAACTTATAGAAGTACATAAAACGTAATAAAAAGTGACATAATAAACTTAAATAGATAAAAATGAGTCAACTTATGTTATAACATAATAATATGATAAATAATCTAAAAAATTAATGAAAGTTATTTTTTAATTTTATTAAAAACTATGATTCTAGTGTTGATTTTTTTTTTTTTTATTAAAAAAACAATAATAAAGAAAAATTAATAATTACAATTTTATACGATGTGTAATTTCATGTTGTATAACTATAAATTTATAATCAAACGGGTTAATTGACTGCGCATATGGACAAACGATTATGTTATGCTTCAGAACACAATTGATAAATATTATGGAAAATTATGTGCATATAAAATATTATAAAATAACTCAACTGTGAAGAATAAAATATATAACCATAGGCGGAATTTAACAAATATGGCAATACATGTCTGGAAAACAAAATGAGTTACTTGTTCTGGTGCTTAAAATTTTATGTTTTTATTTTGGTAATTTAAATACTGTTGTTTGTACTTAATCTAACCAAAATAAAAATGTCAAATGGTTTTAGATTTTGATTTGTTAGATCCGATTTGTTTATATGTGTATTTACAAAGACTAGTGCAATTAATTTATTTTTTATTATATAAGTAACAATTCAAATTTTCCTAAATAAAGATTATAGTAAAGCGAATGTTAATTATCTTTAGGGAAACACGAAATGTATCATTTATTATTTATATATATTTATTTAAAATGAAACTATTAGAAAATATAAGTAGATTTATGGTTTGAAATGTTAATCGTGCATCGTTCATCAACATACCTGCCCCCATCCAAAAGGACCCTTGTTCTAACCAATGATACATAGGCAGATGTATTGCACGTTGATATAAATGTATAAAGCAACGTTAGTGAACATGCAATGTTATCAACCCAACCGAAACTGTTTTAACGTTATCACTAAATGTTATCCTCGTGCACTTAGTAGATAATATCGCAAGGTTAATAAAAAAAAAAATATTTATGTACATGCAATGCTCATAAGTAAATATTTAAAATTGTGTTCTATAGTCTGAAATAAAAATGATAGTTATTGACGTAATATCCTTCGTGACAATTATTAATATACTTACAATTGTTCATAAAGACTACTATTAAAAAATTTTTAAATAACAGTTATGACTAATTTTGTTAATTTATTAATTTATAAATTAATTAAATTTGGATAAAAATAATAATTTGAATAGGACATGTATAAAAGTATTACTAGACTGCTTAAATTATAAATTTCTTTTCGATAATAATTAGTAGTCTATATTGTTATATAATACTTATGTAACATGATATCACTTGGTTTGTTCAAAATATTTAAAACATTATGTTCTATTATTTAGGGAACATAAAATCAATCATTATTTGTATTCGTTTTAAATGAAGACCCGGTGGAAATATGCACAAATCGTATAAAATAATAAATGTATGAACATACAGACAATATTAGAATAATATTATATTCTGAAGACCCTTTTCAATTCACAAACCATCTGTTAACATAAATTTTACATAACATTAAACATGCATTTTTAATGTTTAAATAATGCAAGGTCTTCATAGATATAGCTTATGGATGTAATAGTTACATGAATATTGAACTAATTAGCAAATTTTTGCGTGAGCTGTACTATATTAAATTGAATAAATCACAATTTAACTAACATTTTAGATTTTTTTATTAACAGATTGATAATCTTTAATCATGGGAAATAAAATTATGAAAAAATATAAGAAATCAAATAGTTTCTTAAGAAATTAATAATAGTATACAATTTTAATCTTACATAAATCATGTTTGAAATAAATAATTTTGCATTGTGTACTGGAATTTTATTTATTTAGTTTTATTTTAATAGTGCCGTTCATTTTAAGGACTTAAACTTTTCAGATAACTTGCTCTTTAAATATGGCATTAAACTACTCATTATTGTCATTTGTTAAGTATAATAATTTATTGTTTTGATATTTTATTTAACGTTCTTTCTTAAGAACTATTATTTTTGATAAAAAGTGCAAGAAATTCTACATAATTTTGAATGACAGAATCGAACCATATTACTTAGCCACTGAGATGCGTTGCATCCCAAATGAACTATAAAGACAATATTATTATTGTTTTTAACTTTAATATTAGATCAAATAACCTTTAGATTATCCTTAATAACATTAATAACTTGTACAATTAATTGTTTTAATATTCATAGATTTATTGTTTTAATTCATAATTATTTTACTTTACTCAAAAATCATTATAATTATTACAATGATACTAATTAAGTAAAACTTTACTTAAATTGTTTTTACATTAGTTCACTTGGATAATAAAATTTACTTTATTTCAATAAATTTGATTACAATAATTGTACCTTATGTTTACCAGGGAACTGAAATGTTTGAATGATAATGACAAGTATTATAAAAAAAACTCCCATGGAGCATCTGCTGGTGAAGTGTTTATGTTTATATGAAATATTAGCTAAAATGTTAGATGACATCATAGTTATGTAACTTAAGTCAAGTATAAAAAGACCCTGTTTATTGTAAATTGTATCAAAGTAAGTGCAGAAGACAAATAGACATCATGTAAGTATAACAGAAATTTTAATAACGTACATTATGAACTAGGATATAATATAAAATTATGGTTATAAATTTTTAATAAACCTTAAAAAAAAATTTTTTTTTTACATTAAAACATTTAATTTTAATTTTTCCAAACAAATTCAATTGGTTTTCTAATTTTTCTATAGTATATCATTGCTAAAAAACTAATTTTTATCCTAAAATATCATTTATAATTTAAAAATTTAATATTTTTACTAATGAAATTTCCAAATAAATGGTATGTTTTAAATTTATCATTCATTTAAGTTAAATGTTAATTTGATACAAGTTTTTAGCTAACGTGCAAATATTCAAAGTTGATTTATTTGTTTTATAATCTTACTATGGAAAATAAACGATTTTCATTATTTAATAATTTTTATTTTATAAATATGAGTCAGTTATTCAAAATTTCTTAAAATAAAAAATGTTATGTTTGAAATAATAAACATTAAGACATAACATATTACAACTCAATAACTAGATATTGAAAACATATGCATTGATAATTTACTAAATATATTTTATTAAATCAAAATTTGTTTTGTTTAAGGAAATATTTAGGTATTATTCCAATAGTAATATTGGTGGTAATAATAGAACTTATCTTTTTTACGGACACCTCGAATACTCATCCAATTGATCAACAATACATCTCATTGGATATTCCAAAAGTATAAAAGATTAATTGTTTTAATTTATACTAATTTATACTAAAATAATAATAATATTTCAGTTATTTGAAAATAAATTCTTGGAAGATGAAAATGTAATCAGCGCTTTAAAAATATCCGAGCCCAGTATAAATTTAGCAAAGAGGAATTCTGAAATTATTAGCGCACTAATGGGACTTAGAAGAGCGATGGCAAAACATTATACTGATAACCAAACTTACTGAATACATAGGCATGTTCATTAAGTTTTGAATTATATAATACAACTTTTTTTTTTAATCTAAATAAATGGATTAAGAGAAAGTAATATAATATCATTTTATTGATTTTAATTAATTTTATCGATTTCAGCACAATTAGTTATCATCATAGATATATACAAATCATATTATTTCATGCATCAAAATTTGTTATAACAAATTATAACAGATGACTATATTTTGTTTGAATGTATTTAAACCATAAAATAAGATTCATATTTGAATAATAAATTATAGTAGTAAAATCTTAGATTATTATGTTTTCACACAATTTTTTTTAAAGTTATTTCTAAATATTATAAAATGAAACCTTTATTAATTCGATGGCTATTCTTCAAAAAAATTACAGTAAAAAAAAAAACGTAAAATAGTTACTATAAAGTAATCTAGAAGCATTTTAAATAAAACAATATTTATAATTATTAAAATATTTCTATTTTACAAAAATAAGACTCTAAGTACAAACATTTCTCTGCACTAAAAAAAGTAAACGAAATGCTGCACCAGAGCCCCTTTTTAATTCATGGTATGCAATTTAAATATTAGTAAGCCATACAAATTGTATTTAAATCATTTTTTACAGTAAAAAGAAAAGCTTTGAATGGATAAATATTGATGTTCTATTTAAAGTTCTACTCCAAAAAATGAATTTAAGTTAAATTAAATATACTTTTTATTAAACCATATGGTATGGACAGGTATTATAATGTCGTATACGAGTTAATATTTTTTAATAATGTAAACTAAGTTTTGAATATCTATTTATATATACATTCGAGTTATGATATTCAGTATTTTTTAATTGGTCAGTTTTGAAATATTTTGATAATTAAATTCTAAAAACGTCTAATATTTTTTATAAGTCATAAAGTCTCTATAGAAATATATTTACTGAGAAACACACGTTAGGGTCACAAATTTCGTTATTTCTAAGAGATTTTATGATCGAAAGTATTTAATTGATTCTTTTTAATAAAATTGAAATATGATCCTTTAGAATAATCAAGTTTTAACATACGAATTAAAGACAAGGTATTATAAATAAAGTTATGCTTTCAATTAAGTCAAGAAAAACTGAAAATTGTAGGAATTGAATTATTATTGTAATAGATAAAAACAATAAAACTTAATTCATTAATTTTTATCTTATGACACATATATTTAAAAAACTTACAATAATATTTTAGTAATTACACTTTGCAAACCTGTACAAGAACTAATCACTTTTGGGTAAAAAGATCATTTAGTGTTTAAAATTGAATTATATTATAAACGTTTTTATTACATAATGAATCTTTAACTACATTTCCTTCCATTATTAGACATACAAATATAATTAGAAACTGACTGTTTTAAATCTCTGGGAATTAAAAAAAGGTTATTTGCGTGTAATACAAAGATATTTTAGTCTTATATTAACAAATAATTTAAACTAACTAAGCACACAATTTTAACACAATTCTTCTACTTAATCAAAAAATTTAATCATAGAATAAATTTAAAATTTCTTATAATGAAGATAAAGGTAAATAACTTATACAGGTCTTTTTATATTATTTTTATCAATCAACGTTGTAATTTATAAATTTATAGAATTAAATTTAAAGTTTATAGCCTTAATATTAAAATTACTTATATATTTTTATGTTTTATGTAATTTGTATTTTAATATAATACTAGAAAACAATTTATAAATTACATATATACGCATTTCGGAGAGTTACTGTCAACGTGAATAGCGAAATATTGATTCTTATATTTAGAACTATTATGAATGTGTTCAGCCAACAGTAAATAATTTGATGAAAAAAGCAATGACTAAAACATGGTACATAAAAAATATGCGGAAGATTGAGGTAACAAAAGAATAATAATACGGTACTCAAATACTATAGGGATTGGTATGAAAAGGAGTCGATGAACATTTATTGACGTTTAACGATATTCGAATATAGACTATATGGAAAAAAACAAAGAAAGAAAATTGATGAATGAAGTAGCAGCCGCGTTAAACAGGATCTATTTCAAACAACGTCGACTTATAAAAATGGTATCGAAGTGTACCGAGCATATCATCAACAAAAGGGAAAAATCAAATCTGTTGTAAACTATAATGACACTTAAAGGAATTTTTTATACTTGAATGCGCACTTCTGAATATATTGTTTAACTAATGAAACACTTCACAATACATTCAAATAGTTTTTTATGAATTTGATTTTCCAAATATCGTCTTATCATTATAAATACACCATTAATCAACTTAACGAAAATAACAAAATTACATGTACAAAAGAAAAATAGATCTGATTTTGAGTGTTGATAAATTTTGAAAAAATTACATAATTGAACCATAACGTTTGATATTAATTTAATCTAAGAACCTAATATCAAAAAGGTTATTTCGATAATAATTTATGTAACTAACTTATTGTCTTAATTAAGCAGTCAATAATACTTCTATGGTCATTACTAATTGAAGTGTTGAAATACGGTAATACTATTTAAAAAATTGTTCACGTATTATTACAATTGTGTGTAAATTACACTAATAATTAAATATTAAAATTAACAATACATATTTTATGAACAAATAAATAGAGTAATATCAATTTAGGTTTTGCATTCAATAATAGTAGTTGTACAAAAAGAGATCATTTTTAGCACATATTTTCTTATAATGTAAATGTGTATAATCACAATTTTTTTTTTTTTAATTAAAATTTTTACTAAAAATGTGATAATAATTCTAATCCGTTATTGATCCATTGAGTTTATGGTAATCGATAAATCTCACTGATAAATCTGGAGAAGCTTCTTCGAGTTCTACCATTATAAGTGTATTTGTAGCTGGAGGTGGTACAAGGAATACAGACGGTACAAAAAGTGTTATTTGGGGTCCAACTACTGGCCAATATCTACCCAAGTTTATACCGTTTAAAAACGCTACGCCCTATTTAGATTTAACAGTATTAATTACAGTTATTTAGGCGTTATAGTCTTAAATTATATTCGAAAAAACATTTACTTTAGTCCATCCTGAAGGATCTAACCATGTATCTAGACATTTGGCATTGCTTTCCGGCAAAACAAACTCTGTTTTAAAATAAGCTGGTAGTTGGGCATGTTGGGTAGGTTGAATAGTTGAAACCCAAGATGTTTCGTTTAAAGGATACGCTATCATTTTCCATGGACCTAAGGTTAAATTGTCCAATTTAACCGGATCGAAAATCCCCTGAAAAAATTATTAAAAATTATCGTATTTACATATTAAATAATAAGAATATGCAAACCTTCCTGTCTTCTAAAAAACTACCATAATTAATTCTTCCTAAATTTTCGACTAAAATGCTTAATTTTTCAACTTTTGAATTGATGTTCAATTGCATTGTAGTATTACCGTTAAATCGAGACATTATACCGACTTTTTCCTATAAACAGTAATATTTTATAACGCAAGTTTATAACCAGTACCAAAACATCGCCTAACTATGCTGTATTATTTATAAAAATAATTATAAAGAAATCTAAGAATTAAAAAAATATCAATAATGTGAATTAATACTAAACTCATAACAGTTATTATAACATTTAAAAAAATAATAATACAAAATTATCGTTTGATTAAAAGTTTGAATTTGTCAAAGCATACTACGATCGTTTAAATACCAATTTTTAATATTAATTAATCTTAACATAATCAGTTTGAAGATTTTATTTTCGTATATATTTTCACGTGTCTTAACGTTATCTTACGTTAGATTAGAATTAGAAACACAGAAAATAGATCTTAAACATTTTTTAAAAGTGTTTGATATAACTTTTAAAAAGTACATCGTGCTTTTAATTCGAATTTCCCTTTGTTTATAGTTATATTCAAGTAATAGTCATACTTGATCTAAATAGATAATTGCTCGATCTCTGACGGTTTTCAACGTAAGATTCATTGTAGGGCTCATTAATGCTTTTTGTTCATCTGTTAAAATGGTTTCGTACAATACAAAACCGGTGTTAACATCTAAATCTTCAAAACCTAACGGAATATCACTGGTTATTGGTCGATAGCGTTGAGTGATCTTTTCAAATAAGCTAGCAACTGGGTACAAAGTAAATTTCCCATAATCACCTTTAGGTCGAATAACAGGCAATATTTCATTTGACAGACCAAAATTCTATAAAATAATGTTTCAGAAATAAAAAATAAAGAATATATAATTTTAAATACAATAAATCTTACAGCTTTTTCTAATGTTTGCTTAATCATATAATATTTTTCTGTTGGATCACCAGCTTCGTCCAATGGAGCATCATAATCGTAAGAAGTCAACTGAGGCTGAAAGCCAAAGTTTGGTGAATTTTTATTCGTATTTGCGCCGGACGTAAAACCGAAATTAGTTCCTCCGTGGAACATATAGAAATTGTAAGAAGCATTCATAGCCATCATCTCTTTCATTTTTCTTACAACTAATTCAGATTTTACTTTTGAATTTGGCTCTCCCCAATGAGATAACCATCCCGGATAAAATTCAGAATTAATTAAAGGACCCTTTGGTTGTGTCTTTCTCATGTAGTTAAAACATTCACTGACTTAAAAAATGTTGACAATTATGACCAGATTGATTGTAAGTTAAATTATTTTTATTTTACTACCATTGCTATGAACACCGAAGTCAACAGTAGCATAAACACCTGGAATAGCACCACAAGTAAAATAAGAATAACCACATCCATCAGTAGTATAAAGCAAGGCCTTGAAACCAACATAACTTCTATATAAGTCCCGTAACCATTTCATATATTCTCGATCACAAGCATCATAACTGCCATATTCATTTTCAACCTTATCAAATGATATTGGATAATTAAAAGAACATGGAAATGATAATAATAGTATAGATTAGGTCCACTTACTTGCACCATAATAATATTTCCTCCATTTCCGTATAAATAAGGCTTTATTTTCGGCATAAGTACGTCAAACCATTGAGTTACGTATTTTTTGAATTCTGAAAACATACACTACTAGTACAATACTAACTTTCAATCATAACTGTTAATAAAATTATTAGATACATACTTAAATATATACTCTTAAATAAATAATGTGTTCGATAAAACCATAGGCGAAAATAGAAAGAGGCTAGACACCCAATATATTAATAGTCCCCTCTAAAATTTAGAAAAATATTTTGGTTAATGTAAAATCACAAGAATGTATAAGCCAATAAAATTTTAATTTTTTAAACTAAATTATTTAGTTTTTTCTTAAAACTGACAGGTAAAATTATAGAACACTCTTAGAGTTAGGAATTAAAACTTATTTAATTAAAATACCTCTAAATTTACATAGGGTAAAAACAAAGTAAAAAAAAAAAAAAATTGAATAATTGGATAATATATATTTTTTTTCTTTGATGCGTTCCCTTGTTCCTACACAGACTTTTTAATGTTATATACAATATATTTTATGGTGAAATAAAAGTATAGAAATATCTTATTAATACCCCAAAAATATTATTCTATTGCCGTCTATGGATAAAACAATTTATTTATTTAAATATTTATTTTTATGAACTATAGTAAATAGTTTATAGTCTAGGTTTACTGTAAGTAAAATTATTTCTAAGGGATTATTTTAGAGATAAGTATCAAAAGTTAAAAGGGAACTTATTTTTATAATTATTTTAAATGGATAAATAAAAATTTGACTAGTCAACAACCAGTTTTGTATATTTACTTTCTGAGATATTACCATTTAAATATTTAGAAAAGGCGAGGAGAGCAGTAATGTTTAACGACGTTCTATTTTCGCCATAATACTCAAATACGAATTTATATACATTGCTCGCCCTTCACATCTAAATGGTAATCACTGATTACTAATCAGTCAATATTTTATCTAGACCATTCTATAGTGAAACAAATAATTGTTGTTTCCCATATAATTTTCAAAAATTACAACTTGAGTCTTTCCTCAAGGTAATAATTTTTATTTAAATAAACTTGATATTTACTATAGTTCATAAAAATTAAATAAATTTTAATTTGTTTGTTTTTATGAAAAAAATACGGAGTGCTATTCTTAACGAATTATTGTATAATAAAAGACTAAGTAAATGAAAAATAACACATACTAGGGTCGTTTGTTCTAAGCCTTTTTTTGGGTACCACATTCAGTAACCAGTATGGAAATCCACCCTATTAAAAAAATATATGCATGTTATTACTATCATCGAAAAAATGATAAATTTTATATTTACTAACAAAATCTCTTTCAGCACAAATATATGGACCTGGCCTAAGTAACACATACATTCCTTCATCCTGAATCAATTCTATAAAATATTCTAAATCGGCCATATCGTCGAAATTGTACACTCCTGAATACGGCTCATGTAAACTCCATTCGACATAGCTTCAAATGAAATAAATAATGATTTTTAATTTACAATCTTTAAACTATTATATAGTTTAACTAATGTAACTTAAAATATTATTATGTAAAATATTAATAAAATTATTTACGTTGAAACTGCATTTAAACCAGCAGCTTTCATTTTTTGTATTCTATCTTTCCAAAATGCTTTTGGAATTCTAAAGTAATGTAATGAACCAGAAACAAAACGAAAAAATTTACCATCCATTAAAAGTTCATTGTTATTGTAATCCACAGTAAATGTTGGTTTACTTATCTAAAAATAAAAATGTACGTTTATTTTAACTATAGTTATAATCAAACAATCTAGACGAAAATTCTATAGTTTTAACAGCACAAAAATGTATTTTCCATTAAATAAATGACACTGTATTATATCAAATGATAAATCCAATCAACTGGCGTTAAATTTTATACAATTTTAGTAAAAAAAAATAGCTGAATAAATTTATTAAGAACGTTAGATATTATATAATATTTAATATTTTAATTTAATAACTTCTAATAGAAATCCCACAATAAATAACAACAATACTTTACATTAAACTTTTCTTTCCTTATGAAAATGAAATTAATTGATTCTTCTAACTAAAAGTAAACGCATGTTTAGGGTTGAGAAACAATATATTGTTTCGGGTATTTTTTTTTTTTATTCATTGCTTTTATAACAACAATAGATGGCCACGTTATTACCAGACAATAATTTTTTTTCTATTAGTTAATTCGACCCAAGTATGAGATTTATGTTAACCTTTGTAAACGTGTAATATTACTCGTGATTGATGCTTTTGACATCAAAACAATACATTGTTTTAATATAAATAACGCTTAGAGTTCTTTATGCACGAATTTGTTTTAATCTTTTCCAACTTTTGAATTTACTAACGATGAAAATAATATAGGTGAAATTTACCATTCTGATTATAAATAAAAATACATTTAACAATAATAATAAAAAAATATAAGCTTGTATAAATTTATTGCCAAGGAAACTTTAATATTAAGTCATTGCGATATAATTTATTAATACGCAACAAAAAGTTTCAAAAATTACATTTTACAATAAGTTTCTAAAAGGCAAGTAATTTTGGAGAAATAATGATTGATATTGATTTAATAATAATGGATTATATATGGCTACCACCTGACTAAAAAAATCTACATCGAATTATTGTAAAATAATTCAACTATTATAGCGCATTTGATACCCTGTTTAATAATTTCTTACAAATAATATTATGGCCTGATTTCACTCATTAGTAATTAGTTTTTTTTTATATTTTACAATATTAGGAAAAAAATTAAATATTTATAGTTATGTCATTAGTAGTTATTGAAATCTTACATTTATATTTAAAATTCAGTAAAATACTGAATAGTCTAAAACATGTAATTAAAAGTTACTTTGTGCAAATGGCTGACAATTTTATTCAAAAAAAAAAATTAAATACACTTTTGACCTTGTAAAATTTAAAAATAACATTTTCTTTGTTAGATATTGTCAAAAGTATTTATCTAACTTCACAATTTATCTTATTTGTTTTTTTTTTGCTGTTTTACTGATTTAACTATAAACAATAGTTTAAAATTTTTTCAACAATTTTGAAACTATAAACCCTTGATTTCTAAAAATAGACAATATAATTAAGTATAAAAATATAAATTTTTACTTATAAAAATAAGTAAAATTAGGTCAATAAATTATATAACTTGGTCAAATTCAAATTACTAAAATTACTATGAAACTTCTTGACATTATGTACAGACTATAAGTGAAAAAAGTTTTTTTAAAAAGCAAGACAAAATATTTGTTAAATGAAAGTTATTAAAGATGTCAAAACCTTGTGGAAGAACTGTATATCAAAAATAAAGTAGTTTATTAATTTACAACTTAAAACTTTTCCATTATTTTTTATTCGTAAATCATTGATATAGAATATACAGTATTAGAATTTATGTTCATATCTGTTCGCTAAATGATAAATGATTATATCTATTGTATTAATTTCTTTGTAATTTACATTTTATTGTAAACAATAATTAAACGAATCATTTACAAAACAAGATTTTATCGTCTAAACAGACTGCTACTTAACGTCGCATTACTTACAATGTAGTGAACTAATAATCAACTTTAGGCTGTAAAATTAAAATATCCATTGAAATTTTTACAATATTTGCATTAATAATCTAATTGTGTTTGGAGCCATAAATTAATCTCCAATCTTGTTCTAAATAACTGGTTCAATGGATTATTGATTTCATAGGGTTGTAGGAAATTATTTATTACACGGATGTAAAAAAAAAAACAAATTAATAACCATTAAATTATCTTCTGAAAAAGTCTTTATCTAACTTCGAATATAATAGCAACTAATATTTTTTTTGTTTATACATTTTATGAAAATTTGTTTTACCAATACTTACTCCTAGAAGAGCACTCAAAGTGCCTGTGATGTTGGCCAATAAGGACAATAGCAACACTACTGGAAACCCGTAAAAACGCATATTTGTGGCCAATCGAGCGTGGACGGTAATCTTGACCCGTTGACGTTGGACTAATACGGTTGCAACTATATTGGTTTGTATATCAGCACCGATGTCACTCACCTCATGACCTCCGCAACCGGACTAGACAGACAACTGCACGAGGCTGACGGTACCGGTCCCGTCACTGAAATTGTTCGTCACCCACTTGGTCATTTGTTCAGTCCCCACGGTAAATGACTCGATAACAATACGGCCATCCATTATTAATTAAGAGATTGCATTTAAAGTCAACTATGTTAATTGTTGTTCGTATGAATAACTCTAAACGACTTCTAACTTGCGATAAACAAATAAAACAAGTACTTATATTAATAAGGAATCAATATATATATCCGTATTGTAAGTATTATAAATGATACAATTGTGATGTATTGCGAACTTAATAAAAAATGTTATTACTATGATAATTGTTATTTATGTAGTATGCCAGCTGTTAATATCTTTGCCGTTTACTCGGTTACTGGGGCATCCCCGTGAATTTTCTTTTGATAATAATATCTATTACAACAACGTCTATTGGTCAAAATAGTAACGAAACTCGACATTATATTTATTTTAACACAAAAAACATTACATTTTAATATGGGGAAATTTTATTAATGAGATTATAAAAGTTTCCGAAAAGGAGCATAGCAATAAATTAATAAGCTATTATAAAGTTGAGAATTATTTAATAAGTGATATATTTATTAATTAATTACATTTATTTCCATTTAAAATAAAATATCATTAAGTACAATGCGGCACAATAATTTTGTTTAAATGTACTTCTTACTATTCATATTAATAAATGTGTCGCATGAGTGAATTATGAAACATTTTTATCATATTAAAAATCATAATATAATATTATGATTATGTTGATACCCCGTGTAATTGGCTGTATTATAATTGCAATCTAAAATTACAAGTCATACCTTCTTCTTTTCATAGTCGTTTCAAAATTGTACGAAAAAAGCTATTTATTAACCTAATTAGTTAGTACGTAAAATTAAAAATTCACAATTTAAAAGAGAAAGACGAATAGTTATTTCATAAAATGTCACTTTTTTTTTATGCATGAAAAATTAGAGAAAGTAAAAAAAAATCATCATTTGATCATAGGTGGTCTTAGTAGAGAGACAATGACTATACCGGCCAATTTTGCCACTTAATACAATTAAGGCCAACCTAAAGAAATTTTTCTTTATAGTCTAAGTGTTCATAAGTTTGTTTTTAATTTAAAATTGGTATTAACTAATTGAAAACATTTTTATTAACTAAAATTAAGAATTTCGCAATAATATAGACAGTACTTTATATAATTTATTACAAGTAGGACACGAACAAACTATTTTTAATTTCATTATTCTATCTTTCCAATANTATATATATATAAATTAAAAGTAGATTAATCACTGATATAATGGTTGATGTCTAATAATAACGACAAAAAATCAATTTTTATGTTATATCCAATAAAAATCTTAAATTATGTTATAGTTATTAAGAATATTATCAGTAATATCTTATACATAAGTATACATTTAAACTGAACTCATCGTAAAGTTCATCTCAGGAGCCATAGTTACAATCAGAGGTCTGATCTATACTGCCGATTTAACTTGTTTTCTATTTGTTTTTGTAATTTTTGTTGTTGTTAATTTTGTTATTATTTTTGTTGTTTTGTTTTTATCGTTATTGCCATTTTTGTTTTTGTCGTTGTTGTTACTCCTTTGTTTTTCATCGAATGTGAAAAATGTATTAAAAAATTATTTTATTTCGATGACTATGGGAAAATAATAATGTTGCATTGTTCTGTTTATGCTTAATTTGGTTGAAAAATATTATTGGACAGGTAAGTCAAGTTTTCAAAAATATTATATCAAATAAAAGGGAAATACTGAAATAATTAGGAATAATGAAGGTCATTATTAGTAATTTAATTATTAAAGTAATTAGTAGTTCTATGATTTATAGCTATATTGTATGAATAAATATCTGTTATATCAATTCAACGTAAAATAATATTTACGAAATTGATATTTAATAATTTATTATTGTAATTTTTAAGGAGAAATTAGAAAAAATTATAAAGTAGTTATTATTTTTTTGCAAACGTTTATAAAAATTGAATGTCTCAATGCAATACTTAAAAAAAAAATTTGTTTCTTATTTATAAATAAATTTACTGGTTTATAAGGAATTTTCTTCAAAGACCAAAATATACTTTTCTAAATCCATTTTTGCACCGATTTCAAATCTGCAATTAGAGTTTCGATTTGAGCAAAAATTGTGTTTAAAAGTGAAAATTTTAATAATATAAGCTTTCATAAAAATCAACTTAAAATGAACAAAAATATATGTTAAAAATGTCACATTGAATTGAAATTTTGTACGTATTATTTTTAATATATTAAATATCTTGATAAAAACAATTTTTTTCATTTGTTTCTAATTAGTAATAATCTCAAAAATGAGGTAATAGAAAAAAACAAACAGTAGTACAGTGGGGTCGCGGCACAATGTCAGTGTGGCATTGTTGAGACTAGTATAGATGATATCTGACAGTGATTATAATCACTATCATAAAAAACCCAGCACAGTGGGGTCGCGGCATAGTGGGGATGTTGCATAGTTGGGTCCAGTATAGATTTAATCTGACAGTGATTAAAATCACTATCATAAGAAACGCTTCGATGCAAATCAGTAGATAGTGTTTAATTCTAAGAAATTGGTGGATAATTACAAAAGCTACATTATCTGCTAGTTTCTTATTAATACCCTGATTAAGATAAAGTATGTCGAATGAAAAAGGGATTATTAAAAAATATTATTTCTCATAAAAAAATTGTGTTGATTCGTACACTTTTCAATGAGTTATAGCATTATAAAGTTAAAAATGTAACCAACCCAACCCAACATCAACTCCTATTTCCTTAATTATATCCAGATTAGTAATTATTTTAATTATATATTATATAATTTTTATAATTAATTATTTTCAAATTATTATTGATTTTTAATATGTTAAAAGTAATCATTTTGAACCTACTTCTTTTTGTTCTTTAAAGTGAAAGTTTTAATAAAAAAAAAATGAATTTATTACCATAACTTTTAACTCAACTTGCAAGTTTGAAATAAATATTATTAAATAGAAAAAAATGAAATTGGTAGATTATTTCAAAAACAACAATAACACTTATTCCCTTAATTTTACCCCGATTTATAACTATAATATATGAATACATAATAATTACAGTAATTAAATTGAGTATGAAAGTGGTATTCAATAATATAATATTGTAATTTTTACGGAGATATTATAAAAATAAAAAGGAGTTGTATATTCATATACTTTTAATGCGTATACAAATTTAAAGGAATTTATGCAATACTTTTTAATAAAAAAATTTTGTTACTTATGAATAAATACACTAAACAAAAGGAACTTTCATCAGAAAAAAAATATACTTTTCTAAATAAACTTTTCGTGATGTTTTCAAATGTGCAATTAAACTTTTTCTATTACTTCTAAGTTTTAATATTATTACTTATTATTAAAAAATAAGTATTTACATATAAAAAAAAATAATTAAGAACAAAAAAAATTGTATTAAATTAATACTGATTTTGATTTTTAATATGTTAAAGGTAATCATTTTGAACCTATTTTTTATTGTCTTTTAAAGTGAAAGTTTTAATGAAAAATACCTTCTCAGCTTCGCATCGAAGCTAAAAAATGAATTTGTTACCATAACTTATAGTTCAACTTGCAAGTTTGAAATTGACATTATTAAATTGAAAAAAATGAAATTTTTAAGATTAATATGCAATCTGGAAATTTTATAATTACTAATTACAGTACATTTGTCAGAAAAATTCGATTTTTTTACATTTTTATCGTAATAGATAACTGAAATAGAAAGAATAGTAATCATATCCTAATAACTTTTGGTGTTTAAAAAAATTCTGCAATTGAAATATTCAGAACTTAATTAATTTTAATAATTTACTTTAATTAAATGAACCAATCAAACCAAAGTAGTTAAAAAGATTTACTCAATTGAGCATATTATCAAAAATATAATTATAATTGTAAAACTCCATCGTTAACTTCAGGTGAAACTAAAAATCATTTTTTTTTTAAATTTATGATTTATATAGCAAAATATTACTAAAAAATTTGGCATATTATAGACTGGTAGTAGCACACAGAAATAGAGTTAAAAAATTAATAAATTATAAAGTAAAATTATTTACTTTTGTAGTTGAATACTTTTATCATATCAAATTTAATTCGACAATAAATAATTTAAGAATATTAAAAATTAATGATTTTAATTGTTTGTATGGACAAATCTAGTTAAGCTACTTTTTATTTGAATAAGGAATATTTTTTTGATTTTTAAGAGTAATAACTTAAACTAATCATTAACTTAAATATCATAAACTTAAATGAATCATTTGACGTATCGTTGAAAAAAGTAGGTCTAGTGAGGGTTGGCAAAATAAATCGTAGCCAGAAAAAGAACCACATAGTAAAATAATATTAACATGAATATCAATTTCTTCTCACGAGGGGAGACTATAGTGATAAGATCCTTTATATTTATTGAAATTATTGAATCTAAATGAGATAAATATCAAATGATTTGAAAATTCTATTCTAACTCAAAAAAAAAATGCAAAATTTTAGAAGCCACAAACGGATTTGAACCTCGTACCCTAGGCGTTAAAGATCAAGGTGTTACCCATTCGGCAACTATTCGTTGATTTTTGTTGCATGATAAAATTGGCTATTTAAGCTAACTCAAATTTAAAAATTACTTTTTCGACTTTAAAAAAGTAAAAAATGTTAATAAGTATAATATCATATGTCTTATGAACTTTATTCTATGTCAATGAAATTATATAATATTCATGAAAGTCAGTTTATTCCCCTAATAAAATATTTTAAAATAAAATAAAATACAAAACCTAGAATTTTAATAAAAAATAGCATATTTTTAAATACGGTAGCCTTTTGCGCATAGAAGATAGGTCGTCGGGACAAATTTTTTTTTTTCATTTAGTAGTACATAAAATAAGCTTTAATTTGATATATGTTTAAAGGACGCAGTATTTCCGGAACATTTTCAAAAATTAAGTTGAAAAAGTTAGTTTTTGTAAAAAAGTTGCTATTTTAAATCCCCCCTGTGAGCAGAATAAGTGTTAGATTTTCAAAAAAAAATGATATCAAATGAAAGAAAATTACCTAAGGTTTCAATATAAAGA